AAGTCAAACAATTACATGTATATTGACCATATGAGAAACACTTATGAAACTCACATGACATCCAATGAAGTGTTCTCATAACGAGTCACGTCCTATACACAAAATCTCCATTTTGTACCTATATGCAGATTTGATACTCTATATGAATCCCTACATATGCTAGTCATTATCATATTACTTCAACCTTAAACTCGAAATAATATTTAGCTAGAGACATTTAGAATACATTATTCTAAGGTTCTTTATTATGAATAACTAAAACACAAAATATAAAATAGACATAATACAATGGACAATGCCTTTTTATTTATTTATTAATTTCATGAAACAAAACTCAAAGTTATAATCATCATATTGATTGGTTTTGGGACATTCACTCACATGATGGTTGATGGGTTAAGGGTTAAAGATTGTGATGATAGATTGTGTTTAAGGGTTGTTATGAGAGTAGAAGTGTTTGAAACCTTCCTTTTTTCCTTTGTAAATTTAGAAGATATGAAAGTAGAAGTGAGGTGTGAAAGAAATGAATGAGAGGTCACAAGCTATATGTAGTGATATTTTGTGCATTAGAAGACAAAATATGGGTCAAATCACTCCCCGGGGGAGATCCTACGGTAGGTGGGGGCGATCCCTCTTTTCTAGATCAAATTTTTTTGTCCCCCAAATTAGATACATGTGGGTCCCCATATCAATTTAGAAGATTTTTTGTGTACTTCTTTTGGGTCAAATCACCCTTGTATGGTCAACATGCCCCCAGGAGCGATCCTTGTAGTCATTTTGTGTAAAAAGAGGGAAAATGGCTATTTTGGTGAGACTTTTTGGAAATAATAGGTGTAGGTATATCCAGGAACAAACAATTTTGATGGGAAATGTTAATTAAAATTACCAAAACTACAAATTTCATAATTTAACCCTCGATTTAATATAACATATGGTTTATATTGAATCCCACATATCTCACAATTTGGAGAGATCTCAATAGAAGACCCCCTATATATACACATAAATTACTTAATTAAGTACAAAAAATGGACATAAGGTTGACAAATATTAATAGTGAAACTATAGTAGTTGATGGAAGGCATAGAGGACAAACAATGATAAAGCAACAATGAGTGACGAGGGGGTACAATGATGTTGTGTGTGAACGATCTGAATGTCGTAAGGTTTAAGAATGGTAAAAACGATTTAAGTTTTTTCTTTTTAATTTTAAAACATGATAACTAATTTTAAAAGTTCAGATGGTTTATCTATACTATATTATAAAGCGTTTGACAAAAACTCTTAAAAACGATTTTTTATGCACGAAGTACTGTTTATTGATGCATATTACTTAAAATTTAAGATTACAAGTAAATTGTGCATAAGTACAACTTATTAAAGCTCCATACTTGAATTCGTCTAACTAACTGCAGATAAACATAATAAAATATTGGATACACATCTCATTTTAAATATAAAAAATCTAAAATATAATTAGGATAATTATTGATAACTAACAAAATACTTAGTTATTATCTATACTATATTATAAAGCATTTGACTAAAAATCTTAAAACTCTTAAAAACTCTTAAATCCGTTCATCCCTAAACGATTTCATCCCTATCCGATTTCATCCCATATCTAAATTCGTGTAACTAACTGCAGATAAACACAATCAAATACAGGATAAACATCTCATTTTAAATATAAAAAATCTAAAATATAATTAGTATAATCATTAAATTCTAACAGAATACTTAATTATTATCTTTATAAAATTTATAATATTAAACCAAAAATAAATTGTTTTATTATTAAACTTAAATTAAATTATACATAAAAAATTATAATCTATATTATAAATCATTTGACAAAAACTCTTAAAAATCATTTTTTATGCGTAAAATACTATTTATTAATGCATATTACTTAARACTCAAGATTACAAGTAAATTGTGCTTAGGTACAACTTATTAAAGCTCCATATCTGAATTCGTGTAACTAACTGCAGATAAACACAATCAAATACAGGATAAACATCTCATTTTAAATATAAAAAATCCAAAATATAATTAGGATAATCATTGAGTTCTAACAGAATACTTAATTATAATCTTTATAAAATGTTATATTATTAAACCAAAAATAAATTATTTCATAATTAAACTTAAATTAAATTAAAAAAATCTATACTATATTATAAAGCATTGACAAAAACTCTTAAAAACTATTTTTTATGCGTAAAGTAATGTTTATTAATGCATATTACTTAAAACTCAAGATTACAAGTAGATTGTGCATAAGTACAACTTAGTAAAGCTCCATATCTGAATTCGTGAAGATAAACATCTTATTTTAAATATAAAAAATCTAAAATATAATTAGGATAATCATCGAGTTCTAACAGAATACTTAATTATAATTTTTATAGAATGTTATATTATTAAACCAAAAATAAATTATTTCATTATTAAACTTAAATTAAATTATAATAAAAAACAAATTAAAGAAATTACATAAAAAATGAAAACTTTTAAATAGTTGATTTGACATTAACATTGATATATATATTTTTAAAATTTTATGATATTTTAAAATTTATATTTTATTCAAAAATAAAATCACTATTGCTTTTTTTAGGAACACATAATTTATACTATATATACTATAATATAAAACATTTAACAAAAACTCTTTAAAACAACTTTTTATGTACGAATTATTGTTTATTGATGCTTATTACTTAAAATTTAAGATTACAAGTTAATTATGCATAAATACAACTTATTAAAGCTCCATACTTGAATTCTTCTAACAAAATGCAGATAAACATAATCAAATATTGGATAAATATCTCATTTTAAATATAAAAAATCTAAAATATAATTATGATAATCATTGATAACTAACAGAATTTAATTAAGGAAATTACACTAAAACACAAGAACTTTTAAAAAGATTAATCTAATACTGATATCGATATTTTTTTTTTCAAAATTTTATGATATTTTTAAATTTATATTTTATTCAAAAATAAAAAATATTACTACTTTCTCAAAACCACATAAAACCAATGTTTATTTAAAATTCAAGATTACAAGTAAATTATGCAAAAATACAACTTATCAAAGCTCGATTTTTCAATTCGTATAACTAATTGTGGATAAATATAATCAAATA